CTTAGTTGACCACAGAGTCATACTGGAGGACCAAGGGATATACAAATAATCAAATCTACACAAGTTAAACCCACAGAAGTGGAGTGCTGACTATTTCACAAGCAACCATTCTCTTCGAAATTACTAGGTGGTTTCAGTTGTGTTAAACAAGATGTAATTATTAAATCTCATCATTACTTGAAAGCAAAGATAGTGTAGAGTTACTGTCTCAGGACAAGAAATGTTTTGGGGATGGAAAAAAGTAGTAATCAATAAACTGTGAGTGACAAGAAACAGAGAGTACATTTATCCAATGTTATTGCAATGGGAAAGCAAAGGCCCTGGGTGACAGAGCACGGAGTGACGCCCTACCAAGTTGTTATGCAAATAAAGCAGACTCAATTTACTGTTACAATGTTCATAATCAACGAAGTGTTATGATGGTAATTAGGTTTCAACTGACTTGCATCCCATTTTCTAGTCATTAATTGGAGGCATGTATGCAAACTGCTAGTTAATAATAGAATGGTTATAGTTCTATAATCATTTTCTTCTTGTTCATGCATTTCTTTGATTGCTTGTGTTGAAAACATTTCATCCTTCATGTATAATCCGCTGCGGATAATGTCATATAAGCAAATGTTGTTTATCACATTAACACTATCTTCAAATTCTGTCTTTTGTTTCATGCCTTTGTCTCTCAAGTAGAAGTTTCTTATATTTCCTAGCATTGACCCAATGTACTATGGGTGAATCATACCATCGTAGTGTTTTATCTTCCCAACTCTGACAGCACACTGGCTCCCGAATCTCTTCTGGTGTTGAGTGTTGATATGTGGTGCAGTCTAACATTTTCATACTTTGCCACTGTTCTAGAACATGGTGATCCCATGAAATCTTTTCTAACCCAATTAAGGAATCACGTTATCAGGAGGCACACTGTATTGACTTTTCAGAAGCAATCAATCTTGGAAACACTGTCTTTCATGCCACCAGTTGGTCATGAGAGTTGTTTCACTGATACGTATTCCTGAGCTCTGTACATGTAAGAGCATTACAAAGTTCTAATTTGGAACATTATTTTTAAAAGTACGGGCAATAATTGCTTCTCCAAAAGTAAGAGTTTAATCGTTGATCATTACTCATTACTTTAATGAAATGTAAGCACCCGAATGATACTTTTTGATATCTCTTGTCTTTTTTTAACAAAAAAATATGCTTAATGATAGGAAAATGACTAAAAAATCTCCCTAAAAGTCAACAGTTTGTCTCTAATGAGTGAGTGTTCCTTGTTATAGTTTTAAAAATAACTTTGCAGCTTGTTTTGTTAGTTCATAAAAATAAACACAGTTATAGCATCATTACCTTCAAAATCGAAACGTAGTGTGATTTCTTTTCCATGAGGGAAAATTCAAAGACATAGCTTTGCTAGTCTGAAATAATAACTACTCAGTGGCCTCAGGCCTTAAGTTAGAATGACTGAATCCATATCCACTGAATGATCCATAGCTAGGGGCTTCCAGAATTGACAGTCCTGCCCCCGGCACCACTCGCTAATCACTATGGAACTTGGTTGGTTTTTGATTTGCTTGAAAGATGCCTATGTATTAATTTAATATGTGTGAATGGGTGCACAACGACCAACATACGATCTTCATATAAAAAAGTTCTAATCCAATGACATAATACCACAACATTTGTTGGTCTCCTTTCAGTTGAATCCTCTGTCTGCCTTCACAGCCGTTGTAACATGCACCATGTTATCATCCACCTGTTCTGCCATTGAGTACTTTCCATGATTGTTCTTTGTCTGATTCCTCCCCTGCGACCTTGCCACCATGGGTGAACCTACTGGGAGTACATGAATCCCAACAACTTTGTTCATTGGTTCTCTGACTTTATTCATTGGTTCTCTGGAGCACACAAGACAGTTTATCATGACAAGGTGATGATTCAGCACGGGAATATGAGTATGCAAAGTGATCTTGTGACTCCTTCGAGACTAGTAGCTTTGTCACATGTACCACCAGAATCATGCTGGATTGTCACTGAGTGCCCCACACTGTCCCAGCTTCCCCCTATCTTATCAGATGGGGGAAAACCTCCTTAAACCAGTTCAAACTATGGAAAGATGGGAAGCCACCCATCAGCCACCGCCAACAGGGTGTTTGCTCCAGTTCAGCCACAAAGCCACCCTGAAAGTAGTTCTCCAGTGTGTGATAGGAATCATTGGGCTCCATGGCTGAACTAAAGAAACCCTGTTGCCGGCACCAAAAAAAGGTAAGTGTGACGAGGTCCTAGGAACCATATCAACTCCATGGCCATGCACAAAGCCAAAGTCATTAACACAGCATCCAATGTATGGATATAGCTTAGGCAAATGGGAGCAAAATGAGAGCATTGCCTTCACTGCCACCAAAGTAGAAATACTCGACATGAAATTTTCCATCAGTGCCCACATTTCTACCCTTGCAGGAACTTACAATTTCACTTCAACATTTAGACATTTGATTTAGACATCCAATTGAAAGGGCTAGATGAAATGACCAAGGAAATGTGAACACATATATTATAAGAGTTCCAGATGTGATGGCTTCACAGCCTACAATGCTAGAAAATTGGAAAGTGAAGAATTATTTCATTTGGAGGGGAGGATTTCTTATATGACGGTGCAATTTCTTCAACTCTTCCCCCCTCTCCCCTGAATAACTTTATATATATTTTAAAGGTGAATGTAAGAAAACTGAAACTCAAAGATTATTCTTTTAAAATATATATATATTGTCAATAACACACAAAGAAGATATGTAATATGAGAAAAAGAAAAAGGAGGGAGATGGGGGGTATATTGACTCCCATCTACTTTGTGATGTTGTATAGTCCTTTCAAAATTCACAATTAAAGCCTTTCTCTTCCTTATATCCCTTTTCTTTCTATAGCCACTTGTGAAACAACTACTTTATTATATCTTAATTTTAGTTTATATTATTATTTTCATTTTTAATGCTTCAAATAGTCTTTAATTGGTTGCCAATCCATCTGATTTTTTTGTTTTCCTTGATGAGTTGATGTCAAATGCCTAAGTTTATCAATATTCATAATCTCCATTATTTTAATTAACCATTATCCGTCAAGGATGTTTCTTTGGTTCTCCAATTTCTGGCATAGACTATCCTTGCAGCTGTTACCAAATAGTTAAACAGTATATCTTTATTTCTTTTCTTTTTCTATGTCCAGCATTCCCAGGAGGAAGTATTTTGGTTCTGTTTTAATTTTTATGTCTAACATTCTCTCCAATACTTTCTGGCAATTTTGCACATCCACCAGGCATGGAAAAACATGCCTGTCTGATTTCCACATTTCCAGCATTTATTTGATGTATTTTTTGTAGCATTTGGCAAGTTTTTGTGGGGTAATGTACCACTGATACTTATCAGTTTTCCTTTAGATCATATGCATAGGTGTATTTAATCTATATAAATAAAAATGTAACATTAGTTTGTGGGATTAAGATACCTCAAAAACCACTGGATGAATTGCCACCAAATTTGAACACAATACACCTATTACCCCAAGGAGTGACCATCACTCAAAAAGCATGGATTTTGTCATTTGGGATTTGTAGTTGCTGGGATTTACAGTTCACCTACAATCAAAGAGTATTCTGTACCCCACCAACGATGGAATTGAACCAAACTTAGCATATAGGACTCCCACAACCAACAGAAAATTCTGGAAGGGTTTGGCGGGCATAGACCTTGAGTTTGGGAGTTTTAGTTCACCTACATCCAGAGAGCACTGTGAACTCAAACAATGAAGGATCTAGACCAAACTTGCCACGAATACTCCATATGCCAAATGTGAACACTGGTGGAATTTGGGAGAAATAGACCTTGTCATTTGGGAGTTGTCGTTGCTGGGATTTATAGTTCACCTACAATCAAAGAGCATTCAGAACCCCACCTATGACAGAACTGGGCCAAGCCTCCCACACAGAATCCCCAAAACCAACAGAAAATACAGTATTTTCTGGTGGTCTTTGGCAACTCCTCTGACATCCCCTCATGACCTCCCCCCAGGGGTCCAGACCTCCAGGTTGAGAAATGCTGCCTAAAGGCCATCCAGTCCACCTCCCTTCACCAGGGCAAGAAAACATAATCAAGGCCCTCCTGACAGAGAGCCATCCAGCCACAGATATAGATAGATAGATATGATTCACACACACGTATATGGTTGATATAATATCATAGATTTGAAAGGGACCCCTAATGAAGACAATAATATGTTCCATGTTCCAAAGTAGACAAACCAGACAATCTCTACATCAACACTGACAAAGAAAGAAATACTGTTTACCCTGAAGCATAAAAAAAATTACATATATTAGAAACCAACACTTTCTCATTACTTTATTTTCAAGATCACCAGACTGGGCCACAGCAATGCGTAGCAGGGGACAGCTAGTCTTTATATATATTTTAAAGGTGAATGTAAGAAAATTGAAACTGAAGGATCATTCTACCTAGCCTAAGAGCTTTGAGTGCTCACCTCTTAAATGTCTGGATTTGATTCCCCATACATATATATTCATATTGGTCTTGAATTAGAATTGATACCACTCCCCACCTCCACCAGCAAACTCATCTTTAATTTCTGTATTGTTGGGGGTAACAGTACACTCCACATCATTGTGCAAATATCTATTATATTTCATTATTGCCAAGGAGGAAAAATTTCATTTCCACATCATTTGAAGATTTTTTTAATATCCACAGGTTTTAAAAAATCAGATGTAAGAGAAAAACAAAATAAGCAGATTTTCCTATAATTATACTATGGTGGCCCATTGGTAGCTGAACACTTCTGTCATGTTTTTTGTTATGGAACAACTTGCCTGTAATGGAGAGGTTAAAGGAAAGCAAATCTCTTCACATAATAAGAATGACCTATGAGACCGATCTACCATGGTGAGTCATTTTTTGTGAGAAATGGAACAGAACACGGAGAATGAATAATCAGTGTTTGGTGCTTGAAAGGGTTGGAGGTTTTATTTTCTTTTTTTTTTATGGTTTTCAGTTGGGCCAGTTTGATCATGAATGAAAGGTTAGAGGTCTGATGTAAGGATGTGGCTGTTACATAACATTTTTGGAGGATTCCTGAAATAGGCAATTCACCTGTAGTGAGTAGACACCAGTGGAATGAGTTTTGGAACAGCAGCTTTGTCTGTGAAAAAAGAAAGAGAGAAAGAGAGAGAGAATAGGAGGGAGGAAACAAAACAGGGATATAGTTACACATTTTGATCCATTACTTGAGATATGAACAGAGAGCAAGTTTCTTGGCATGTTACATATATTAAAGTATGATTCTTCGCAGCTGCCTGTATAGAAATCTCTTTAAAAGTTTTTTACTTAACCCCAACCAACACCCCAAAAAGATACCCCTTCAGTTTTGGTATGTTGTTTTCACATGCAAACTCAAGGGTCACAAACTGCATCTTTCCATATCCTATTATGTTGTGGCCAAGAATTGTGTAACTGTGCTGAAATAAAACTGTGGCTTAATCATTTCATCTGAACAAGTGGAAAGAAATATATTAGCCTCAATGGTGCTCATAAACTTTTTTCTTTAATTTATTAGTTAGTTATTGCTACTAATTAATTGACTGATTGACAGTGCTAAGGAGCTAACAGATTTCCCAGCTAGCTCTTTACCCCAGTATAGATCACTTGGGATTTTGTTTTTGTTTTGTTTGGCAAAACCTACCTCTTAGTTTTTGTTAGTCTTTCAGGCTTGGGTAAATAAAATCTTTAAGTCAAAAAGATCAAATTATTTTCTTAGTAAATCCCAGAGTAAAAAGATTTCTTTTGGCCTGGTTTCTTTCCTTCTTTCTCAAACCCCTTCCAACCCTATCAACAACAACAACAAAACTTTATTTATATACCGCTCTATCTCCCCAAGGGGACCCAGAGTGGTTTCCAAGTAACATCATCAATACATCCAAACAGAAAAAGAAAGGACAATTCTTATACTCGGAGCAGAAAATCAACCTAGGAAAGAAATAATAGAAGTTTCCCAACATCTCTAGCCCACGGTAAAGAGCAAGAAAGAATGGTAAATATCCAAGTACTCCCCCCCCCCTCCGCCGCTTTCTCTCTCTTCTTTCTTTCTTTCTTTCTTTCTTTCTTTCTTTCTTTCTTTCTTTCTTTCTTTCTCCATGTCCCACTTCTGCTTTCCCCTTCTTTTCCTCTCTCCCTGTTATTCCCTCACACTCCTTCCCTTCCCTGGCCTCTTTCCTATCTCCCCATCCAATATTTCTCTCTCTTTTTTAACAATATTTAAAAGAAAATCAATAGAGACTATTAAAAATACATACAAAGTAAACAACATAAACATAAAATTAACAATATAAGCATTAAAAAATCCCAATAGCACATATATATATATATATTAAATAATCCTGCCTGTTCAAGGCAATTTAAAAGGCCAGGCCAGGGCTAGTGCAATTTGTAGAGGGCTCAGAAAATTAGGTAGAGTCTATGGTTGTTCATTTCCCGGGGCTTAATTGGAGGAAGTAATCTGGGTAATTGGCAGAAAAAGATATAGCCATATTCAACAATATCTGGGGCTGAGCAAAAACTAGTCATTCTCAAAGGCTTGTTGAAACCACCAGGTTTTCAAGCTCTTACAAAAGGAGGGGAGGGATGGGCCTGTCTTATTTCTCTAAGAAGGGCGTTCCAGAGACTGGGGCCACCACTGAGAAGGCCCTCTCTCTCGTCCCCACCAACTGTGCTTGTGACGGTGGTGGGAGCGAAAGGAGGACCTCCCCAGAAGATCTGAAAGTTCACGCCGGTCCATAGAGGGAGACGTGATTGTGAAGATAGCATCAGCTGTCTGATCAAAGTGAAGGCATTATATCCTATACAATTGGCCCTTGGTATCCACTAGGAATCGGTTTCATCCCCGACCTCACCCCCATGGATACCAAAATCTATGAATATTCAAATTCCATTATATAAAAACAGTCTAGCAAAATAGTGTCCCTTATATAAAATGACAAAAATAATGTTTCCTGGTTAAGGGAATGAATATTTTCAAGCCATGGCTGTTTGAATCCATGAACACAGAATCCATGAATACAAGGGGCTGACTGTACTCTACCTATCTGAAAGTCAAAGTATCTGAAAGTCAAAAGTATTTCTGTCTGTCTGTCTGTCTGTTCCACAAATATTGTTGCTAGGTGAAGTGGCTCTCTGTGATGTCCCTGGGAAAGAAAGGAAATGTGTGCATGAGGAAGGGAGGGAGGAAGGGGACACAAAGAGAACCATGTTGCCTTGGAGATATTGTGAAAGAGAGAGAAAGAATGGAGAAGGAAAGAGAAAAAATAAAAAGAAGAGAAAGGAAAGAAAGGAAAAAGAGGGAGGGAAGAATAGAACAAGAAAGAAAAAGGAGGGAAGAGATAGAAGGAAAGGGGAAAATATATGAGTGGAAGGGAGGAGGTAAAGAAACAACCAGGCAATGCCAGGTATACACATTAGTGTACTAAAGATTATAGATTATACTCTGTACTCCATAGGTATATTTCCAGGCCTCAAAGTATGCAAACTAACCTGCATGTCCTGTACCTACTAATTTTTATACTTGCGTTCTTTAGTGAAAAAGCAGCTTACAAAGCTTTAATTTGAAAAGCAGCTAAGAAAAAAAATTAAATAATCCAAAGGATTAGGAATTGGTAAGGAAGGAGTAGAGAGCGATGCAAAATCTGACACCCTACTGTTAGTTTAAAACCTCAGCAGACAGAAATTTATCACATTGTGCAGCTAAATCTAAGCATACAGAAAGAATTTCCTTTCCTCTGCTGGACACATTGTCAGCAGAGGCACTTTCAGGACCAGCTCAATACATTTTGTTATTTTAAGAGCAATGACAAAGGCACCTCACTCGCTCACTCTTCCCCACATCAGGATACATAGGATCTAATGGTATACACATTATTTTGGCTCATGAAATGGAAAATCACACAAGGACCTATCCCCTGGCAATAAAAATATAATAATTCCAAACAGCAAATTAACAGTGGTAGAAATAACAATTTTCCGCTTCTTCATTCTGCCTAATTCTAGAAATCACCCGGAGTAGTCTGATGATGTAATGCTTTCTTCTAAGGACAAGGAAGAACTTGAACATCAAGTGCAAGCATGGTGTTACCAGATGGAGCAATTTGGTCTTTGCCTCAATGACAAAAAGACGGAGTACCTGACAACCAATGAGGAGGAGACTGGTACCATCCAGCTGGACGGGATACATCTCCCAAAAGTCAACACCTTCAAGTATCTCAGATCAACGATAGCTTCAGATGGCAACCTTTTTGATGAAGTCACCACAGAGATTAATGTGGCTTGGATGAAAAGGCACTCAGTAGCAAGTGTAATCCCACCTCGGAATTTAAGATCCTCTAGGGAGGACTTGCTCTTGGCCCCACCTTTATCACAAGTGAGACTGGTGGGGATGAGGGACAGGGCCTTCCCAGTGGTGGCCCCTCGCCTGTGGAATGCACTCCCCGGGGAGATTAGGTCATCAACATCCCTCCTCTCCTTCAGAAGGAAGTTAAAAACCTGGATGTGGGACCAGGCCTTCGGGTAAGCTGGCAGTGGACAAAAGACAGTGACGACCAGAGTAGGAAAGGACAATGATGATGCTAGACGGATCATGGATTTATGAATCAACGAACATTGACCACAATATGATTTTATTGCTGCAACTGTATTGTTTGATGGTTTTAATTAGTTATAATTGTTGACGATATATTGTAATTTGTATGTTATATTTTATGAATTGTCAGGCATCGAATTGTGCCTTTTGTAAGCCGCCCTGAGTCCCCCCCTAGGGGGTTGAGAAGGGCGGGGTAGAAGCACCCCAAATAAATAATAAATAAATAAATAAATAATTTGCAACAAGAAGATGCCCAATCACCTGAAATCAAAAATCTTTTAAAAGCCACATAAAAACTGCCAGGCCATCAAATGCTAGTCAAGGTGGCCAATTGAAACATTCACACCAACCTCCAACAGACAAGAGTTCTTTCTCCCACCCTGGACTTCCCACAGATATATAAACCCAATTTTCCTAGTTTCCAACAGACCTCACAACCTCCGAGGATGCCTGCCATAGATGTAGATGAAACGTCAGGAGAAAATGCTTCTAGAACATGGCCATATAGCCCAAAAAAACCTACAACAACCAAGTAAAGCATGATTCCTTGGAATTACGTTCTCCTGTTGTCTCATAGACTGAGTTTTAGAGTTTCCTGCACTAATCTGACTTCTCAAACAAGAAGATTATGAATATACTGCTGTGGTAGTTCACTCCACAGTCCTTCTCCTTTTTTCCAGTAATGATGTTCCTGAAAAATATGTGAAAGAGATGGACATTGATAAAAGAATGAGGATCAAAAGGCAGCAGTGGGAGACTGATGGGAAGGCAGAAAAAGGTCACAAGTGTGAAAGGCTACCACTGTGCTAGTGAAGTCCTCATAAGTGTCTCATGATCCAAAGAGGCACACCTTATGGAAGTGTGAGATTTCTGTATTATTTTTTTTTAAAAAACCATCATCACACAAAGAAGTGCTGAAAACAGCATTTCAAGTTAAATTAACTGAGAACACCTTTCCACCCCCACCCTGCATGGCTTATTTTCTCAGCAAACCAAAACAAATGAGCAAGACTAGGTTTCAAAGCACAAAATCCAAACTTGAATTTCGTCCTCTCTTTTATATATATAGCCACAATTGTCAATACTCTTTCTTCTTCCTAAAGTGCAGCAAGCCAATATGATTTAATACTTTTTTTTCTGCTAATGTATTTTACAGAGAAATCTCGAACTGGAAAAAAAAATCAAATTATAAACCATTAAGAAAAGCCAGGTGTGATTTAGCTATGTTTCATTTGCTAAAGTGGCAATTATCATTACACTCTCATATTTAATCAGACTGAAAATGGAAAGCAAGGCCAGAAGAAAGAGATCAGAGGGTGACAACCTTTAATATATAACAGTAGCCACAACTAATCATCTATGAAGAGACAAAGGTAACTAGACGCTTCAAATAGATGAGATTACTTGGTGCATACAAGAGAGGGGGAGAGAGAGCAGAGCAGCCATAGCATGAAACTCCTGTCATATCCGACACTTCCTATTTTCAGGATAGAGTTGGGAATTCTAAAGCAAAG